AATGAAATAGAAATTTTATAACTTAAAATATGCAACAGAAAATTGGACATAGGAGAAGAGAGAATTATTGAACTGGATGAGAGCTTAGCAGAAAATACCAAGACTAAAATACGGAGGGCAAAAATAATGGAAAACACTAGAAGGAGCAAATGACATATATAGATATGGTGAGAAGTACATGTATTATTGGAGTCTCCAAAGAGGAAATGAGAATAGGTCAGAAACAATATTTAATAAGGTAATGACTGAGAATTTTCCTAAATTGATGAAAGAAATTAATTCATAAGATTCAAGAAGTGCTATGAATTCCAGGAAAATAAATATAACAAAAACCATGCCATGAAATATCACCTAAAACTTGCTTAAAGTTAAAGTAAAACAAAACAAAACAACAAAAAACCTTGTAGTTTTTAGGGAAAAAAAGTTTTTTGCATGTATCTTATTACAAGGAATTATTTTACCTGAGATGCTTTCATTAGAAATATTATAAGGAAAAAAATAAACTTTGGCTTAGGTTCCTTGCTAAAGATTGAAAAAGTCTTATTACAAATGATATTCTTGACAGTTTCAATTTTTTTTGCTGACTTCATTTCCAGTTTCACCAGATCTTTTTTTTTTTAATCTCATAATATGGCTATCAAAAAACTGGCACTGAGAATAGGAAAAATGACAATTGTGGCAGTGACCTGATATTAATTGAATTTAAAGTACTGGTAAAACTTCAATCCACTGTTTCGAATAGGAATAATTTTAAGCTACTTGTCTACTTTGTGAGGGTTGGTGTGATTAAAATGAGATATTAACTTCTATAAATCACCTCAATTTTACATCATAAATGGATACATGTTCTAGTGCATGGAAAGTGAATGATGGTCTTATTGTACCTTTCGGCTCTGTGGAGTTCCCACCTCCTTCTAGACAAAAGTTTATGATAATTGCTATATATTTTATGAATACATAGAAGAAAGGAGCTTGGAGGCTTCAAAGACAGGGTAATGATAAAAAGATAAAAATGTTAATTACCCTAAATTGGTCAGTACATATTATATACATGTATTAAAATAAAACACTGTGCCCTATAATATGTACAATTATCATGTGTTAATTGATTCTAAAAATGTTTAAAGAGATACAAATGCAAACACTCTGATTCATTTGTTATACTTTATATATATGTATCAAATGATCATACTATATACCCTGTAAACATGTACAATTAAGATAATGATTATTAAAACATAAAAACACACAGTTCCCTTGAAAAGAGGAAATGATCAAATTATATTGTGTGCAAGAATGAATATATAACAACAAACCACACTGTTCTGTATAAAGGTGGTGCACTAAAAATTTTTTTTTAACAAAAACAAAACAAAACAAAATGGGACAGGATCATCAGGAACTGTGGCATTTTCTGGAACATTGTTAAAAGGTAAAATCTGAAGCCCTTTTCCAATACTGCTGAATGATACTATTCACTTAGACAAGAATTCCAAGTGATTTATGTGTCCATTCAAGTTTAAGATTCATTGATAACACAAGACCAGCTGGCATCAGAATCCAGTGAGGGGCCAAGACATCAAATCCTTGCAGAACTTACTTTCATATGCTATTATTAAAAAGTAATTGCAGTGTGTCAGTCATTACTTTTCATTACTTTGAAGAAATGCCTGACATCATCAAAAGAGGGAAAGATGTACTTTGGCTCCTGGTTTCAGAGGTTTCACTCCAAGGTCCCTCGGCCCTGTTGCCTTGGGCCTGTGGTGGGGCAGAGCATCATGGCAGGAGCACATGGAAGCTTGGGAGGCATGTTCACATCGAGATGGCCAGGAAGCAGGGGGCGGGGGAGGGATTGTCCCCGGTGACCTAGCTTCCTGTCACTAGGTCCCACCTCCCAGAAATTCCACCACTTTTCAGTAGAGCCACAGGCAGGTGACCAAGCCTTCAGCACATGGGCCTTCGGGAGACATTTGTGCAGTTCTGAGGCAGTTAATGCCTCTGTTGTCTTAGCATGCCTTGGAATTGTTTATAGGACTAGAACCTTCCCACATGAGTGACGCTCCACCCAAACAGCCACAGTTCCTTCTCTGAATCCTCAGTTAAATTTCTGAGCAGATGCATTATTTGTGGCTCGAGGGCTCTCCCTGTGGTTTTTGTCTAGTGCTTCAGTGGATATAACTCATTGTGGAGAAGAGGCTGAAAAAAGAGCACATGAACAGTATTTTTTTTATTTTATTTTTTGGCTTAAGAGTTTCAATTTAAAAATGATTGGTCTTTTTCTTTTTTGAGAAGTTTGAAATTATCTCTCAGCCAGTAAATCCAGAATCCTATGGCCCCAGGTGTGTGTGTGAGACTCAAACCATTTCACATCATTAAATGCCTCTTTGGGAAAGTGGAGCTTTTTATCATCCCTCTGGTGGAAAGTGGAGAAATGGCAAGATGGTTTGCAAGGAAATTTCAGGGAAGGCCTATTTTTCTAAGTCTTCACTTGTCCCTGGGAGGCCCTGAGTGGGAAGAGGTTCATTTCTGGGTTAAGTCACATCAATCAGAATCAATTTCTTTGACTGTAATATGGGCTACTCACTGATCTTCCCAGGGACTTAGAGGAGTTGAGTGAATTGTCACAGGTCACCAGATCATATGTGATGGAGACATATCTTGAACACAAGAGGAAGAGATGACTGGAGGTGGACAGGTCCCTGTTTTCAGGTGTTGGAAGGCTTTCGTGGAGAAGAGGAGATGCAGTTGTATGATAATTTAACCCAATGTCCATTATGCACTCCATCCTAGGCCTTGTACTACCAGCTGGGGACATTCATGGTGCAGTTTCTCCTCCACAGTAGCAGACAGAAGGCTCAGCAAAGCATCCAGTGTAATCTAATGTGTGCTACCATAAAGGTAGGCAGAAGGCGCTCCGGGAAAACAGAGGGGTGAATGCACTGCTCTGTCTGGAGAAAGTATGGTGGATTTTAAGGTCTACCAGGCCTTTCCTGGGTTTAGAAAGGGGACGAAGGTGTTCCAGCAGAGGTCAGAAAGGCAGGGGAGGAAGTCAGAGGGAGAGAAGGCTGGGCATGCAGGGACTTCCAGAGTGTGAAGCCTGAATTCTACGCTAAAACATTAGGATCTTTGCCAAGGAAGTCAGAGGGCATCAGCCCTTCCCCCATATGGTGACAGAACCAGATCTAATGGTAGCAGGTCCAGTGGGTCAGAACTCCCTTGGGACAGAGTGGCTCTCCTTCATGCAGAGGCTGGCCAGGCCCTTGTTGAGGTTAGATCCAAGAGGGACAGCTACCCGACAGGGAATTTGTCAGGATTTCGTCATCTCTCCAATGCTCAGGACGTGGCCTCAGCCTAGCTTTTCAGGGCGGTATGTTTGGGTATGTTTAGGGAAGTATTTATCCCTGTGACAGACATAGCCTGAAGGTGCCATAGATTTTTGCTTTCTAATCTTTAAAATATCTTAACAGCTTGTACCAGAATTCATCTATGACGTGTCTAGGTCCATCTGGGCTACTGTCACAAAATATCAGACTGGGTGTCTGGTAAACAGCCGACACTGATTGCTCACAACTCCAGAGGCTGGGAAGCCCAAGACAATGTACCTCGATATTTGGTATCTGGTGAGGACTACTTCTGGTTTCATAGACTGCTGCCTGGCCATGTCTTCACATGACGGAATGGGCTTTCTATAATCTCATTAATGGGGACCCTGTTCTCATGACCTAATCACCCCCCCCAAGCACCACCCCATACCATTACATTGGAGATTTGCTTTCAACTTACACATCAGTCCTGGAGAGAAAAACGAACATTTAGCCTACAGCAGAAAGGATCCTTGTTATTTAGGAAGATCATTCATCTAGCCACTGTGTGCAGCAGTCAGACCCCCAGGGGCTGTTCCAGGAGCACAAGCAAAACCAAAACAAAACAAAACCGTACCTGAGCTGCTCAGCCTGGAATACAAGGGAGGTTTGGAGATAGGAACATCTTCATATCAACGAGGAACAGAAGGGGTGAGGGGAGGGAGGACTAGAGAGCTGCTCTGGCTGAGGGCTCCACAGGGTGAAGCTGGAGCCCCCACATGCATGGCTGTGACTTTGCTCAACCAGGCTGAATGACAGCACTATTTCAAGGTGCAAGGAAACTAGTGTTCTGCTCCTCAACTCATTCTGAGTCTGCCAGTACCGGGAGAGAGCATCTCTGTGGCCTTGTAGTGACTCATCCTTTAGGATAGGGTGGCTGTTATCCTTTAAATATTGGTGTCCTCCTCCCCCTAACTTATAGTTGAATACCAATCCCCAGAGTGATGGAATTTAATTAAGGAAATAATTAAGATGGGATGAATTCATGAGGGTGGGGGCCCTTGTGATGGGATTAGTGCCCTTATAGAAAAAGGAGAAAACATAGGATCTCTCTCTTTTTAGATTTCAGAAAATGAATTTTTGCTGTTTAAGACACCAGTCTATGGCAATTTGTTATAGCAGCCTAAACTGACAAGACAGTGGCCCAAGAAATGTTTTCACACTTAGATATCTAATGTTCCATTTGAAATTGTGATATAATAATCTCTACCCTGTGTCCTACAGATATCTTCTAGTGAGTAGCTTAGCTGCTTGAGTGAGTGGAAGGGCTGGATTTCCTATCTGGGTTGTAGCAGTGTGCAGTAAACAGCTTTTATAGAGACAGCAGGCTTTGGTCCTGGTTTTTACAGGCTTTGGTCTTCCCTGGAGCATGGAGTTATGGTTTGACCAAACTTTATCTGCATTTGAAAGGACAGGGAGGAAGCAAGTAACATCCCATATTTCATTATTTTGATGCTTCTAAAATGATGTCACTGAAGTTTATTTTATGACTGTTTGCCTCTTGCTTAAAGAAACTACTTTGGGCTGGGCTGGTTTACACAAATTATTGTTTTAAGAACAGTTTAACTCACCAATTACCGGAGCAAAGTGAGATTCTTATCTCTGGGATCCAAAGAGGTATAGTTTATTTATACACCGTATCTTCTGGAATGTATTTTTATAGATTGCACAAGTTGGATAAAGTAACGGAGTGCAATGCATGGTATGCAAGGGTAAACAGAAGCCCTGGGGTGAAGACATAGCTACCTGGCTGAGCTGCTTTCTGAATGTGAGTACTTTCTAGTCCTCTCTGATAATAATTGTCCTGCCATGTAACCATGCTAAACAGAATCTGAGGATTTAGCTCAGTGGTTTCGTACATGTCTAGCACGCACGAGGCTCTGAGTTGTATCCCCCAGAACCAAAAGAAAAAAAGTTAAAAAATGACCTCCAGAATCAGTATCAGTGACTAAATCAGTTGTATAAAACAGTGACTCCACTAGAAGTGTCCTTCTGCCTCACATAGGAACCTTAAGATAGTTACTGGAGGATTGACTCTTAAAAAAAAAAAAAATTCCTCAAGAGCGTAGGAAAGCACTAAAAGTCAAGAATGACATCCCATCTCTCGTGGATAAAATTGCACAAAGCACTTCATTCACATTCAACCTGCCAGAACTGGGTCACCTGGCTTCACCTAAGCTGCCAGGTAGCCTGGGAAATGGAGTAGCATAGTGTTTATTCTTAGCTGCTAGGTTGCCAGGCAAAAATTGGAGTTCCATCCCAATGAAAGAAGAGGGGAATTGGAATTTGAGAACAATGAGAAGCCTCTGCTTGTTCCCTCCAGTTCTAACAAGTCTGGGATTTAAGGTGTTGTCAATAGTTGGGATGAACGGCTGTCAAATCACCCTCCACCTATAGGGCCCTGTTCATTGAATGACGCCCAAGGTGCCCCCCCACTCACAGAATTAGCAAGTCCTTTGGATCAACACTGTCCAGCAGAAACATAATGTGAGCCACAGGGAAATTGAAAAACTTCTTGTGGTTGTGGTAAAGAAACGAACAAACAAACAAAAAAAAAACCACATAAAAATGTTTTAATAATTTCTTGAACTTATTCGTGTAAAGAGTATAAACAAATGATTAATGAAATATTTCACATTCCTTTCTTCAAACCAAATCCTTGAAATTTTTTTTTTGCCTGTAGTTTATACTTCCAATATATCTCAATCTGAAGTACTCGTCTTTCCAGCCCTCAGTAACCACACGTGGCTTGTGACTACGCTGTTGGACAGGGCAGTTAAAAAATGTGTCCTCTAGAACAACAGCACATTGTATGTGGCATAAATTATGTTGTTATGAAAAGACTCTACTAATTAACTGATTCAGATTTAACTCAGCATTGTAATCTACATTAATATGAAAAAGAATGTCATTTTCCCCTTGAGGCTTAATAGGAGACCATAGACTATTCATTTTCTGGCTCATCAGAGATCTGACAAATGCCGTTTCCAACTAGCCAAGTGAGATAGAGCTGGTTGGAATCCAGTTCTTCCTACTTAACAAGCTATGTCATCATAAATAAGCTGCTTAACTCTTCTGAGCCCAGTCTCTTTAGCTGTAAAAATGTCACATGTTCAGAATTTTTAAAAATATTTATGGTGGGTTTTTTTTGGGGGGGCGAGGGGAGCTAGAATAAGCTGAAATAGCACTGAATGAAGAATAAAGAATTTGAATCCTGGCCTCAACTTCCCCATGAATCTTTGAAACTAACCCTCTCAATGTCTCTAGGACGTTCTCATTTCCACTAGTAGAGGCAGTAGAGTACCCTGCTGGAAATTTGTCTTTTCAAATGGAATCCCTTGCCAATAAAGTACAATGGACTATACCCAAAAGACTCAAAACCAGCATACTACAGGGACACAGCCATATCAATGTTTATAGCAGCAAAATTCACAATAGCTAAACTGTGGAGCCAACCTAGATGCCCTTCAGTGGATTAATGGATAAAAAAAAGTGTAGCATATATACACAATGGAATTTTACTCAGCATCAAAAGAGAATAAAATCATGGCATTTGCAGGTAAATGGATGGCGTTGGAGAAGATAATGCTAAGTGAAGTTAGCCAATCCCCAAAAAACAAGTGCCAAACGTTTTCTTTGATATAAGGAGGCTGACTCATAGTGGGGTAGGGAGGGGGACCATGGGAGAAATAGATGAATTCTAGATAGGGAAGAGGGGTGGGAGGGAAAGGGAGGGGGAAGGGGATTAGAAAGAATGGTGGAATGTGATGGATAATATCCTTATCCAAAGTACATGTATGAAGACACGAACTGGGTGTCCAACATACTGTATATACAAACAGAGATATGAAAAATTGTGGTATATATGTGTAATGCAAAAAAAAGTACATGTATAAAGGCATGAATCGACATGAACAAACTCTATATACAAAGATATGAAAAACTGTGCTCTATCTGTGGAATAAGAATCGTAATGCATTCTGCTGTCATGTATTTAAAAAATAAAATCAATAAAAAAAGAGTAAAAGAAAACATTCATATTTCTAGGATAACATTAGGGACAGGACTGCCTTCTGGAAGGTCTGCATCCATAGCCGCACAGTGTTCCTAAGAAAACGCCATTTTTGGAAGAAGGGGTGGAAATGGTTAAATAGAAAAATCTCTTAGGTTAGTGACTGAACCTTTGGCATAAAATTTGAAGAGACAACAATAAAAATCAAACCCATGAGCTCTCTATCACTACTTGTGGAAGTGTGTTTTGAGGGATCTTTCTGGAAGTCAACTGGCAACATGATTCAAAAGACCAAATGTGTACATCCTGTCATGAAATATTTCTATGTCTAAGAAACTTTAAGAAAACCATCCGGCATCCCCAAATTTCCACTCATACAAGTGTCTGTGGCTCTTCTGCCGACACCACCAGAAAATTAGAAATACTCTGATTACTAAAGAAGAAAGAATTAGCAAAAAAACAGTCATAGTATAGACATGTAAGAGGATATTATGAAACAATTAAAAGCCATAATTTCAAAGAACATTTAATGATGTGAGAAAATGCTTTGTTACATTGTGGAACCTTAAAAGATCATGAGTAATATGCACGATGGGACTGGTGCCAGCCCTCTTTCCAGGTTGGTCCCTTTCCAGAGGACGTCCTTAGAGATCTGACTTGGTCTTTGTCCTCTTGTTCACTCTCCGCCGAGTGAACCTTCATTTTCTCCTATGTCAGCATTCCTGAAGTTGGTACTCTGGATCATCCTTTGTTGTCCTGAGCTTTATGAGACATTGAGCAGCATCCTCAGCCTGTACCCACTAAGCGCCTTTAACACCATCTCCCAGTTGGGACAACCATGAGTATCTCTAGACACCACCCATCCCCTGGGGGGCTAAATCATGTTCCCCCAGAATGGTTGTTATTTGTGCCACTGAGATGTGGGAAATGAAAATTCTTGTGGTCTCTCTCTCTCCCTCCCTCTCTCTATCTCTCCCCCCACCCCACTTACACAAACACACACACACACACTTTCACTGTCATATTAGCACAAATGTTAAGCATCAATTCTCTATGATAGCTCAGTACATATTCACAGTGAGCACTTCTCTCCGTGAAATGTTCTCTGCACAGACCTCTGTCCACCACGGGAACAAGGCTCTTTGGTATATGGAGCAGTCATTCTTCTGCTGGCTCAGGCTTGGGTTCCAGGATGAACGAATGATAGCATTCCTCATGTTCAGTGATCAGAACTAGGAACGGAGGACCAACCTGATTTTACCACTTGTTTCAGGAAATTCTTGCCCAGGAAGACAAAGCCGTAAAGTAGTAAATAACCTCACTGTTAACCTCAGACACTTCATGAAAACCCATTTATTTTGCTCAGGAAAATTGGATACTCAGCTGGGGAAGTATCATGCTTCTTCAGAAAATGGTTTGTCTGCTTGGTTGAGAAACATTACTTATCAAACAACTATTTTCTTGTGGAGATTCCCCAAGAATCTACCTTCTCTGTGTCTACTCATCCTAAGCTATTGGATGATGAAACCTCTATGAGTCAGCGGAATCCACATTCCTGTGCCTTATAAATGAAATTTATAGGCACATGAACAACCCTGTCTGAAATACATGGAGACTGTCCTAAGAGGGCATTCTTCTTTATTTGTTCAGTAAAAAATGGACTTTCCCTAATAATCAGAGTTCTCTCTGGGGTATTGGCAGTTCCCTTGGGCCTGCTACCTTTCAAAACAAGGGGGACACCGTCATAAAGGGACCTGCGCATCAGTGCTCACAAAACACCAAGAGGAATTTTTTTTTAGTTGTAAATGGAGACAATACCTTTATTTTGTTTGTTTATTTTTATGTGCTGCCGAGGATTGAACCCAGTTCCTCACACTTGCAAGGCAAGTGCTCTACCGCTGAGTCCCAGCCCCAGCCCCAAGAGCAATTTTTAAAGCAGCAGCTTTTCTGCATCTCTATCCAGCTAAGATTCATAAGCATGATGTCCCCACTCTGCACTCTTCAAGGGGAAAGGAGGCACCAGGACTTAATGTTCCCCCTGGCCAAGGAGTGTGAGTGTGAACTGGGCCAGGGCCACAGGTGCATGAGCATGGGAAAAGAACACGCAGAACCCCCCTCCCACTCCCACACACACACACACACACACATATGTATAGGCCTGCATGTATAAACATATACCCCAAAGTACAGCAGAAATCATAGGTGATTTCATGTTTAAATTTCCATTTAAAATTTTTTCTTTAATGAAGATATCTTCCTGTTCATCAAAGTCATTACTGTTATAATTTCAGGTGCAATAATACACTGATATAATTCTATCCTGCACACTTCAGAAGATCCCTGGAAAACCTAGAGTTGGGAGTTCATCATTTGTGCCCAGTATTAACTTGAAGTGTGAATGAAAAGGATTACCCTGTTCCATTTTTTAAATTATCATTTTCTTGAATAATCTCATGGTTGCTAGTATATAACTCTGTAGTCAGCTGGGATAGGCAGGCCATGGGGTATATGAGGAGAAGCATGTAGTTACTAAAATAATTGTACTGTTGGATACCCAGGGTCATGAATAAATGTCTAAGCTGAGTGTGCCCTGGATCCCACAGATCACGGTGACTAATTCTCGGGGGTTTGGCTTTGACTCAGTCATGTTCTAATTTTGTTCTCATTAACAAAATACCTCCCCTCTCAGCTGAAGTTTTTTCACTTGCAAAAGTCAGACGCTTGCACCAACCCAGAGAACTCGGTGAATTTGTTGTAAAGACCTGAAGAGATAATAGATATGAACATAGGAAAGAGCTCAGCTGCATGGTATTATGGGACTGCCTCTCCATTTGTCAAAATGCCTTTCTGATTGATATTAATGTAGATGAAGATAACCACCCCACATCCAATCTCAATGCTGGGGCTGCTTAGATCTTTGAGATTGCTTGAAGTGGCGATGTAGGCAGTTGGGGATCTCCACCTTGTCTTCAAGTACCCTGGTCTGGTGCAGGGACCTGGCTGGAAATCCTCACATGCAGCCTGGTTCCCCAGGGCCAGGTGGGCGCAGGATACACTCCGAGGAGGAATGCTTAGGGCTGCTTGCCACAGCTGCTCACCATCCCTCGTTAGCATTGATGCCCATCACGTAAACCTCAAATTGAATTTTCCAGGGTAGAGTGGGGAAAATAAAAGGAATGAAGGGAAACAGACAGATAAGCACATCCCTTGCACGGGTCCACTGTTTACTTACTGTGTGCACCTCATTTCCTAGGAGACAATCTCTCCTATGTTACTCTGAGTAACACTAGTATAAAGTGTACGTGATTTTCTGCATTTACAGGCTCTGCAAGGTTCAGCAATTTGACCCAGAGCACAGAGCTCAAGAGCAGAGTGACACCTCACACTCAGCTGCTGAAATTCCATTGTATTGGACTTCATTTGATATTTTGGGGGATTGGTAGATCAGCCATAGTGGGGCAGCACAACCTTGATACTGGATTTACTGTACTTCATCCTTTGTACCAACTTCAAGTGGCCAGAGGGCAGAAGACCAGGAAGGCTTGATGGAATGGGAACTCGGATGTGGAGCAGTTTATTTGTTCCCCATCAACAGAGCAAAGTTATGCTTGATTACATAAAATGATTAACCACATGGAGCTACATAATGTACATGAGTTACATTAATGTGCAGCAGTAAATGCATTGTTTGATTTCTCTGCACCTAACTACATTTTGATTTCAGAACGTTATGATCTAATATTAACTGGATGGCACACACATGAAATTTTACCCAAATCAGCAGATGTGCCTTGTACCCTGTATATAAACAGGCCCTTCTCTGGGTGAGCCAAAGTGTACGCCACTGGTCTCTGGAAGTGAAAGTTCTAAGACTGTGATACAAGATGCTGATTCTGGCTTCCCTTGACCAACTGTGAGCACCCCCTACGCTTATGTAATTCAAGGAGGCCCTAAAGTATTTTATCCAAGTGACTTCCTTTCTCTACTAATAGCTCTATTTATGCCCAATTAGGGACATCTGAGAGAAAGACAAAATAAGTAGCCAGGACCACATTGCTGATTCCAGCTGCACCTTCCTACCCGCCCATTGAATCCTTCATCCACGTCTTCCAGGGGTCAGTGGAGTTGGGGGGTGCCTGACCCTCCCACTGGACCGGGACTGCAGGGAAGACAGAGGCCTTGGCTTTTTCTTTCTGTGTTTTGATGGGATGGATGACATCTAAGTGTGCCACCATGTCATGGGCCTGCTTGGCCCTCAGACACGCACTTGATCTCTCCTCCTTCTGGAGGGCCTTGGATTCTAGAAAGTGCTCAGAAAAAGTGACTGCATAGATTTGGTGGAAGGAGCACAGAGCAAACCAATGGGAAGCCTAGGTTTTCATATCTGCCCTCTCAACGTGGGGAACCACAGACAAGTCACCTTGGCTCTCCGCGCCTCTGTCTCTGCCTCCCAGGTGGGGGCCTGCCACTCAGAGCCCTGAATGCCTAAGAATCTGTTGCTATTTGTTGTGTATGGTTTTTAATGTCAAACCTCCCCTGTCTCTATGTCTGTCTCCCTCTTCCTCCTGTCCTTCCTCTCAGGTGCATGAGAAACCCGGAGTTTACAGTAAAAGCACAGGAAGAGCTGAATGATGTGTTCTCTTTAGGAAAGTACCTGGTCCCCTCAGGGAGCCAGTGTCTGCCTCAGGAGCCTCTGCCTCCCAGGCTGTGGCTCCTGAGGACTTTCAGTGTAGGCCTGGCAACCCAGCCCGGCCTTTGATGTGGCTTTGAAACGGCATGAAGCACAAGCAGCCCTGATTCAGATCTGTGAAAAGGCTTGCTGCTTTCTGCCAGGGACCCGTGGCTACCCAGTGGTGACAGGGCACAGCCTGAGCATCCATCTGGGAAACAGCACAGGGCACAAACCTCCACCATCACAGTCCCTGTAGTCCCCAGACTTCAGGTGGGACTGGCTTCTTCTTCCACCATAGCTCTTTGTTCCTCTGAAGAGGAAATTAGATGTGCTTTTATGACCTGTATGCACCCTGAGAAGCCACACAATACCCAAAGGACTCTCGGAAGCAACGACACATTGAACATTCAGCTCCTGAATCTCAAAGAGGTACCTATGCTAGAAAGGAGGGAGTCACCCTTTGTTTATTCACGTCTTGTTTTTCTTGGTAGAAATAAAGATGGTGGATGATCCTAAGGTTTCCATTCATGGTTTTCATTCATTCACTTCATCCATTCATTCCCTAACTTAGCCAAGATTTGGAAGCCTATGTTACTCATGCCACTGTGCTTAGTCTTCAGTGTACAAAGGCCTTATATAGGTAAGAAGGTAGGCAGATACGGAGATATAATATATATATGGATGTAGATTGCAATATGGATGATATGTAGGTGTGCACAGGTGAAGGTCTAGGTATAGGAACCTAGACTGGACACTGCAAAGCTTAGGATCTGCTGGTAAGTCTTTGGCATTGTATAAATGGTGTCACAGATAATCCTGGTAACTGCCCAGAGGTAAGCCACATGTAAAATGAAGGAATTCTGATTCTTTCTGGGGATCAGACAAAGCTTTCTGCATACACAGACATTTGAGTTGAGTTCCAGAAGAAAGAGATGACCCCAGACCCCAGAACCAACACTCTTCAAACCAACTGCAGTGTGGGTTCTGGAGTCAGACTGCCTGAGACTCCAGGTCTTTTCCAAAGTCATTGAGAACCCAGGCTCTGTCCTTGTACAAAGTCCGGTAGCTCCCAGTCCTAGAATATTGCTTTCAGCTTCAGGCCATGATGTGGCTGCTGATCCTGCAGGCATCATGATGACTTTCACATCTAGGGAAGGGAAAAGGAATAGCTGAGAGGGCATGTCCCTTGAAAGAAATTATCCAGGAGCTCCACCCCTTCAATTCCACCTACACCCCCTTGGCCAGAACTGGATCTTCCAATTCTAGTTGCAAGGATGTCAGTGGGGGAAAGAGGGGAGGGGTCTTAAACTGAGCACTCTGCCTTGCCTCTTTGGACCAAGCCAGAGGAGACTGGGTGGTAAACTAGCTCTGTCTGCCCAGGCTGTAGTTGGTGTTTCTTTCTTTCTTTGTAACCCACATCTTTCTACCATTTTTGGCGACACTGTCTGGATTTTCTTTTGGGAAGTGAATGTGTTCTCAGAGGAAAGGGCCTGATGCCTAGCCTTCCTAAAACCAAAGAATGGGCTGTCATACCTTTGAATCATCAGCAGAAGACCCCAAAAGAGGCAAAACCGTTGGGGATGCTCACTCCAAGGCTCTTCAAATCTATTGATTATTTCCTGCCACCCAGAAGCCTGGAAGGGCCCAGCATCTGTTCTTTCCAGACCTGGTTTTCTATCTTTCTCTGAGATCCATGGAGCCAGAGTCTCTGTTTCCTCCCCGGATGCCTTCAACATAAGTGCCCCCTTCCCTTGAGCACCCAGCTCCTCATGTGGAGCTCCAGGTGGGTTGGCTTTTCATATTTAGGCAGTTGCCTGTAAGTCTGCCCCCCACCCCTGAGCAGTAAGCTCCCTGAGGGCAGAGGCTGCATCTAGCTCATTTTATGGCCTCTAGCCACTGGCATGGTGATTGGGATTTATGGGTATGTGATGTTGCTGGTTTTCACTGCAGGAACTAGATACTCGAAGGGGACAGGCAGAAGACAAGAGTCTTGGCCTTGGAAAGATTCCTGACCATGTTTCCAGAACTTTCCTCCAAATCCTGCTAGCAGGGTGGATGTTGTGACTCATTCTGGAAGTGGTGACTTCTGGAGTCAGCACTCTCTCTCTGTGTGACAGCCACTGCTTCTCCACCTCTTCTTTCTCCGCCACCTTCTCCTCCTCCTTCTCCTCTTCCTCTACCACTTTTCTCCTCCTTCTCGGCACCTTCTTTCTCATCCTCCTTCTCTTCTGCCTTTTCTCTCTCTTCCTCGTGGCCATCGTCATTCATTGTTGTCACCTCCGTTAACTCACACTGAGCATTTCCCCCGTGCCTGTCCGGCCAGTCTGGGGGATCAGCCTCTTGCTCTAGATTGCACGAAGTTCGTGACAGCTCTGGGACTCAAACTCATCCTTTTAACCCACGTGTCCTTCCCCCTGCCACCGGGGTGGACAGGGAACTCTGGAGAGGCTGAAGAGCCATGTCCCATCACAGTGGAACTCCTTCCAGAGCCACAGTGCCCCGGTGGTACAGGACGGTTTCTCGGGTATGTGGCTGGGCTTCCTCTGTCTGCAGGAGGCCTCCTTTCCCACTGGTCTCTCTGTCCCACTCCACATGCCTGAGGTTCTATCTGGAGTCACCCGTGGGACACACCAAGCACTCTCTGCCTTGCTGGCTGGAAGTCTTTGCTTACACGCTCTATGGCACCCTTCACCTGAGGCCTGTGTCAACTGAGGAGGGCCCAGGAAATCCTCCACAGTGGCTCCTTTTCAGGCCTGAGCTCTGTTTCAACCCCGTGGTTCCTCCTGTTTTCTTCTATGGTTTCAGGAAGCCACGCAGAGGAGGGACTCAGTCTTTGGCAGTAGACGCACTTTGCTGAAATGCCTTTTCAGTTCCTTCCTCACTTTGGGAATGTTGGTGAGTTCTTTCGCCTTTCTGCACCTCCTCATAGCTATAAAAAAAAGGGAAAAAAATGCCTACTTGGGGGAAATGAGCCAGAGTTATAGGATGGCTTTTGCCCCTGACCCTCCCCTGACCACCACTTTTGTTACATTGGCCCCGTCCCAAGGCCAAAGTGCTGGGCAGCCCACAGGCCTGGGCTTCTATCACGTATCTTCCAGGGAGCAGGTAATCTTTAGTGGCAAGAGCATTAGGAGGACAGCACTGGCTGCCTCTGCTTCTGTCCTGGCCCTGCTTACTCCTGGCCCTCAGGGCAATTGCCTGGCCTCCTGGGGTGTGGTCCCCTAGTGTCTGGCAGGTGGTATTCTAGACACTGAGCCTGAGCGTGGAAACCCCACCTCACTGCTACTTGCTACTGGATCTCTTAGTAGGTCAGCTGTGGAGGTTGGGGGAGGAGGGACTCACATGAGGAAGGAAAACAACCAGCTCCAGGGAGGGTCTGCCCCTCTCGAGTGCAGTTTCCCCCTGTCGAATGAGTTGGCATGACTCAGTCCCTGCAGCTGCTCTGGTGCAGCAGTAGCATCCGTTGGTTGGTTTTGGCCTCTGGGGACACATGGTGTTGTGCAAGGGGTCATGGTTGGTGGTGAGTCATCCTGAGCTACAGGAGTCTGGGATGTGCAGGGGTGGGGCAGAGAGAAAAAGACCCATCCAGGGGTCTGCTGTGGGGGGGCAGGTATGTGGCATCCACCTGGGAATGCTCACTGGGAACTCAGTATCAACTGGAATTCTTGAAGACATCCAGTTCAGCCTTTCCATATTATCCTCAAGATAAGCAATCAGTATTCATGGAGCATCTACTGTATACCTTTGTGATGCTATTTGGGAATATTTATATTTTTTTCTGTATGTTCACTTGCATTATTCCCATACTTCATATCAGACACAGGATTACGGTTGATCCAAAGAGCCTCTCTTATTTTACTAATTTTATCTCACTTTGGTCTCTTCTCCCAACCTCCTCCTACCCCACCACAAGAATATGTGTAAATCTTTAAAAGTGTGCATTGTGTATCGTGAATGGGTGAGCTTTCCACTAAGTGATGGTGTGCTACACATCTTGTTCACTTTCTTACCTCTTCCCTCAATGTTTTATTTCAGGAATCTATGCACATCAGTGGGTGAGCTTCTAGCTGACATTTCTACAGCTGCCTGTCTCCTGTGTGAAGCCACAGGACTTTCTGTGTATGGCCTCCAACTTCCGTGACCAGAAGCAGTGACTGAACACTGTGTATGTCCTCTGTCAACTTCCCCCCCTTTTTTTTTTTCACAAACAGCCACCTGCTACTAACAGAGAAAGTTTTGGGTGCTATGTGGTGTTGCTATTAGTAAAATGGAACTATATAGCACTATTGCCTGGAGATCAATGTGGTTGGCCCTACTACACCATTATTGCCTCTCTTTGCTTGCTAAGCTTCCCCTTTATAATAAAAAAAAAAAGCTGCCTTCAGGCTAAAATATTCGTAGGTAGCACATTCTCCCTGAAATTAATTATGTTGAAAATTTAATTAAAATGTAATTTAACAAAATGTACTTATTTAAATGGTTCCTTCCATTATTAATAAGCAAAGCCGGTTTCCTATTTAAAGAAGTGACATTCCATATTTAATAGAATCTAAAATGCCACTGATTATGAAAGCATCATTATTATATATTCTACTAAGAAAGAAAAACAATTCTAATTAAACCCTCATAAGCCATCAATAGTAACAAAGCATGCTGCTTTCAAAGCTATTAAAATTTGAAGACATGTATATCCGTTTCTGTTTCCTTTAACAAACAAAGTTATTCGAGTAAAGAAGAGGACTGATTTAACAGAAAGTGAATAAAGGGCGCCTTGGTTTTAAGTGAACTTAGCAGAAATGACGTGAACACAAACTTGCTTGGAGTTTGGGAAATGGGCTCATCTCACATAGCTGGTCCTTATACCTGCCTTCTAAGGGGGCTGTTGTCATTTCTGTTTAGCAGACGGGACAACTGGGGCAGGAAGCAGTGGCCTTCCTAAGACCACAAGGTGAAAGGAAAATTCAGGCTTGGCCAGGGGGTCCAAGTACCCACTTTCGATACCAAAAGTCCACGGAACTGAATGGACTCCAGCATGGCTGGGTCTGCTGCCCCTCCTGTGTGAGGCCCCGACAGGCTCAGAGCATGGCCCCTTTTCCCCAGGCATGGTCCCTTTCCCACAGGGGCTGCATTGCCCATGCAGAAGCATGTGATGGCAAATGGACATTTCCAGAAAGGCATCCAGGGAGGGATGGGGACAGAACACCCCAGGAACAGTTGTAGGAATATTAAACTCTTCTTGGTCGCTGAAGCCACTGTCTATTTTGTTGTTGTTTGGTCCTTAGCTCAATTACATGAGTAGGTATTATTCCCATTTTACAGATGAAAAAAACTGACAACATTAATTTGCGGCTACATTCACAATTAATAATTAGTCGAGCCGTAAAGCCATGGATTCACTGCCTCCCTTTTAAAATTAAACTTTGTGAAATCATTGTAGATTCGTGTGCCCTCATAAGAAATAATAAAGAGAGAGATCTCAGAGATCTGGCATACTCCTGGATTTACTACTTTTCCCTGAGAGTAACATTCAGCAAAGTTATAGCAGAATGGGAAGACCGGGATGCTGGCATCGAGACAATCACAACACAGAGCCTTGCCTTACATCTCTCTCTCCCAGAGTTGCCCTTTTCCAACCACACTTTTCTCCCTCTCCTGCATCCTTCCATCCCTGACTCCAGGCAACCGATCATCTAGTCTTCATTTCTATAATCTTGTCACTTCACACATTATGTATGAAATCAGGTACTATTTGACCCCTAGTGACTGACTGTCCTCACTCAGCATAATTCCTTGGATATTCAGGAAATAATAGCTCCTTTTCATTACTGAGTACTATGCCACAGTATGGAGGCACCATAGTTTGTTAAGCCATTTATCTGTTGAAGGACATCTGGGTTGCTTCTTTATGAATAAAGTTTCTTTAAACAGTCTTATAGAAGTTTGTGTGTGAGCATAAGTCTTTGTTTCTCTGGGATTAATCCTAAGAGTGCAATTGCTTGGGTTATATGGTAGTTGTGTGTTTAATGATATATCTGTATATATCTGTATATTCTGTTTGGTGAAATATTTTTTTTCTAAATTCCTTTTTACTTCTCCCTTATTTTTTGTTTGTTTGTTTTCCTCCAATATGATTTTTTAAAGAAACTTGAAATTTTTATTGATATGATCTAGCTTCATGTGCAATTATAAGAAGTAATAGAGATCAAGAAAAAAAGATTAATAACCTAACTTAAGAATGGGATGAAAAGATATTTAATGAAAAATGAAAAGAAATAATGAGAAAAATAAAAAAAAAATTCTCAAAAAAATACACAATGGTCAATAAGAACATGAGAATATGCCCAAACTCATTAACAACAACAAAAAAAATGAAATTAAAGCCTTATTGAGGTACCCTTTTGTACCAAATAGATTGGTTATGATAAAAAAAGAGACAATAACAAGTGTTGATGAAGATTGGGGGGAGTTGGACCCTCACATGCTGCCAGTAGGATTGTAAAATGGTGCAGGTTGTTTTAGAATAACTGACATTGACAAAGGTTAAGCATAGTTACTGCTGATCCAGCAATTCCACTAGAAGGTATATGCGCAAGGGAATCGGAAACACGTCCGCACAGACACGTGCACATGGAAATTATCCATCATAACCCCCAGCTAGACAAGCTCTGATGTCCACCAAATGATAAGGGATAAATAAAATGTGGTCTATCCTTACCACAGACTGTCATTTAGCAGTAAAAGGTGTGAGTATGGGTGTATTCTAGAATAAACGTTCAGCAAAAGAAATCAGTCATAAAGGACCATCTGTTTTACAACTCCACATATATGAAAGGTCCCAAATAGGCAAATCTGTAGACACAGAAAGTCGATTACTAGTTTGTCTAGGGCCTATGGGAAGGGGGTTTGGTAAGCAGTGGCAACAGGGTGTGGGGTTTCTTTGGGGGATAGTGAAAATGTCCTAAAATTGATGGTAGGGATGAATTCACAATTCTGTGGATCTGCCGAAGTTGTTGGGACTGTGAAATTTATGTGAGGGAATTATATGGTATGTGAGTCATTTCTCAATAATCCTGTTTTTTTTTGTTTTTTTTTTTGAGAATGAATACGGAGAGAACCTGTGTACCCTTGACCCAGTTCCTCCAAGGGTAACGTTTCGCCACACTCCAGTGCGTTAAAGAATTGAGATAATTCATTCCTCTTAACTGGGTACCGGCTCTTTGACACTCACCTCTCAGTCTCTCTGGTATGATTCTCCACGTTTTCTACAGTGGGTAGGTCTGTGCTCCACTGCCCCTGGTCGAGACACTGGACCATCCTGTCTGTCCGAAGCCCTGTCCTCCCTCAGTCCTGTTTGAAGTGGCGGCTGGAGCCCTTGGTTTTTCTCAGTTCATGGCCAGACACAGGGCAGCGCCCCATCGGGTGCCAGGGCTTCCCGCCAGGCAGAGGGAGCTCCTTTGGTTGTCAAAAGGCAGAATCATGGTGGGGTGTGAACTCCCACCCAACGCAGAAGGGAAGAAATGTTGGAATCTAGATTCTAGAACCACCCACACGGCTGAAAGGGTGGGAAATTATTTTACCAAAGGGAGAAATGTGAATTCTGGGAGGGGGATACGCCCCCAGACCTCCACACCCTGCTTTCTCCTCCCACCGATTTCGGAAAGAGTCAGCGCTTTTGGAGATCTGGTGTTTGTTAGGTTGCCACCGGCAATTGCTCTCAGGGACAAGACTGGCAATGATTCATCTGTACTAATCCCTGTGTCTTCATCCGCCGTGCTTCTGTGCAAGGGGACAGCCCCGTGCGTACTTCCACATCATCATCGCTTCGGTTTCTCTCAAAATGTTTAATCAGAAAAAGCCCAGAGTTTGGCCTCGGTTCACTTTGGGCTTCCAGGGGAATTTCCCATCCCTCTTGGACTCCATGGGTGAAGTTGCTTGAAGGTTGGTTTGTCCTTACAACAGCACAACATTTGGCAAGGCTGGCCGCAGCGCACGTCTTTTGGATCAAAGATAGAGTTAGTCGAATCACACACTTTGGGACAAGAAGTGGAGAAAGGAATAGCTGTCATTACTATCTGTCTCTTGCCTGTGACCCCACAGCCCCCAGTCACCTGTCCTAGTCTACCTGACTACATTCCTGTCCCAACTTTACTCCCTCCCGGGTCCTATAACTCCTACTGCCTTTAAGTCCATAATCCCACAGAATAGGTACTCGACATCCTTCGTGAAGATCAGAGTCTTACAAACTGGTTCTACTAGAGAAGAGAAGGGGTTGCTAAATTCTTTCTTCTCACATTAATCACATCAAAAAATTTTAACATGTGCCTCTGTATGTGATTAAGGCATCAAGTTGGAAGTTGGCTTCAGCTGTTATTAGTCAGTATCCACCAAAAAAACAAAACCAATAGGCTGCATGTGTATATACACCAACAGAATGAATAGGACAGGGAGAGAGGGAAGGAGGGAGGGAGAGAGGGAAGGAGGGAGGGAGGGAGGGTCAGGAGGGAGAGAGAGAAAGTATGGAACTGGCTCTCATGACTGTAGAGATTGGCAAGTCCTAAGTCTGCAGGGAGGCCTGAGGCCCAGGGAGAAGTGGGTGGAGCACTTAGGGTCCACAGGCTGTCTGATGGCAGATTTCACTCTTCTTTGGGAAGGTCAGACTTTTCCTTAACGCTGTCCACTGATTGGATGAGGTCCCCTCACACCAGAGAGGGTAATGTGTTAATCCTATGTTGAGAATACCTTCACAGCAATATCCAGACTTGGATGTTGATCAAATACCTGGGTATCATGGCCTAGTCAAGTGGACACATCACATGCACCGTCCCGCCAGCCTAGGGCTTTATGAAAAGGAGAAGGCAGGAAAGGAAGGAGAGGGAATTGAACCACCTCATGTTATAGTCTGTCACTGCCTGAGCATTTGATCCAGAAAAGGGAAGTGCTTTCGATACAGAAGGAATACCCAGAACAAAGGGTGGCTCCTTTCCACTCTCCTTGGGAGCCAACCGGCAGAGAACCAACCCTGGCTGCTCTCCTAACATCCACAGCACCTCCAGGCCAACTTGGCACCGTGGAGCCTGTCAGGGCCCAGGGCGGTTTAGCGGTTGAACCCTCTCCAACTGTGCCTGGCTCCTGTTACTCTGGACAGCACCTGGAAGGAGCTGGGTGCTGGGGTCAGCTCTCACTAGACAGTCTTACAAGAGGAGGCAGAAGCAGTTCTGCAGAAAAGGCTGCAGAGACAAAAACCAACCTGAACCGAGGGTGAGGACATCCTCATTCAGACTTCAAAAAAGGTCTAGAGCAGTGGGGCTGAGTAGCCAGGGAGAGCTGGACTGGGACCAAGGGCAGAGAGAGCATGAGACAGTGGACTTCAAGTCTCCAGTGCTGACTTGCAATTTCCAGTTGCAAATTCAAGCAGGGATGGCTGCAAGTAGGTAGGTCAAGGGTGTTATTTCCGACTCCTTGGTCGGCCAAGCTTTCTGCCTCAGGCCCTGTGTTCCAGACCCCCAGGTACCACCTTGGAGAGGAACTAGATGCCAGGCGGAGCATCTTTGTTTTAGTGTTTAGACTTTTTTTTTTTTTTTAAGAGAAAGAGAAGTTCTAAGGGGTCTGTTTAAAATTATTGGCTTAAACTCCATATATGTTACACAGAATTTCAAGTCAAAATTTTGTCTGCTCACTGACATGGAGAAGAGAATTCATGAGATGAAGTAGGGTAAATCAGAGCTGATGTGTGATTGCCTCTGCGACCCTGGTACTTTGGTAAGTGGTGAAGCTGGAAGTTGGAACCCTAGGTCTTTGTAACTTCAAATCAAGCTCGGGTGATGCATCCCAGACACTGTCAGCATGATGGACCAACATGCCCATGAGCTCCCCTGGGTGACTTGTACTGGGGAGCCTTGACCTCTGGCTATGGCATTCCACAGTACCCTAAGAATATGTTGGGCTGACAGAAGGACACCATCTTCCTTATGCAACCCATTACTACACTTTCATTAAATGTATTTTGAGAACTCTAAAGAATACAGGAAGCCATTAAGGAGAACATCACATATTCTACCACGATCCAAATTTAAACAGACTAAGACTTTGTCACATTTGTCACCAGTCCTTTTAAAGCCATGACATTTCTATTGCTTCTGGCCCGTTACCCTGCACCCATTTTCCTTCTACTTCTCCCAGAAGCCACAGGTTCTAGTTCATTAAAAATATTTTTCTGTACACAAATGCATACATCCATGAAAAACACACAATGTCTCATTTTAAAATTTAATCAAATGCTTCCAAACTGTATATGCGATTTGATCACTGCATTTCCCACTCAATTTTAGCTTTCGAGACTACATATTTATGATTCTGGGTATTCGTCTATTACATTTTATTCATGTTCTTTTGATGGACATTGAAATTTTTTCCAATTTTTAAATTGGTAGCCAGAATTGCAGGGGACATCCCCATCTGGGTTCTGTAGACTCCTGAGCACATCCCTCCCTGCCGTGCTCCCACGAGTAGAAGGGCTGGCTTTCTCATGCTTGACCGCGGTATCACACTAGGGGATCAATAGCTGGTGTATATGCCAGTCTCTCCCACCTGAATGCTGATTCCTAGAGATCAAAAGTTTCATTGTATTTATTTCTGTGTTGCCAGGGTCTAACACATGGTGTTGTGATAAATGAATAAAAATGCGAATAAATGGAATGCCTCCGTCCCTCCCCCTGATTCTGCAGAGTCGCTCAGTCTCTCACTCTAACCTGATGCAGTAAAGGGAATTCCCAGCCCCTGCTTACGACGAATGCTGCTAGCGTTATCTCAGTCACTTACTGAAACTTTAATTAAGATGCACCACTTTAGAAGCAATAAACTGGAGGCTGAGAAAGGCAGAAGTAAAGATGAGATGTGAACCCAGGTCCACCCCAATCCAGAGCCTGTAGCCTCTCTACTCTCTTCT